GCCGTTTCCCTTTTCTTGCTTTACCTCTTTGTTTCCCGATGTATCTTCTTCGGCTCTGGCGTACTTCTCAATTCTTGCCATGAGTTCTTCCATGCTTTTTGGCAATGTTTTTGCCAAAGACTTCCGTAGTGGGCAGTCATCGTTCAGGCCGTTCTTGAAAGACACGACTGCTACTTCCTGGTTGCATTCAGGTATTCGGTTGAACACCTCGTAGTATCTCTTCGCATAGGCCCTAAGGCCTTCTTCCTTGGTGATTCTTAGAGCCATCAAAGCATCAACCCTTAGGGGCTGCAGTTTGTTGGTCATGAACCTGGCCACAAACATCTCGGCCAGGCCTTCCCATGTCTTTACACTTCCCTTTGGTAATTTATGGAACCAATCACATGCAATTTCCCCAAAGGATGAGGGGAAAACTTTGCAGAGCAACGGCTCGTTTTCGCTATATAATGCCATTGAATTTAGGTATAGTTCAACATGAAAGTTTGGATCTGACTTACCATCATAAATTTGAAACCTCGGCATACTGAATCTCTTTGGTGGTTCGAATTTGTCCAGTTCCACCGAGAAGGCTGTCTTCGGCTTTACTGGGGAGTTTACCTCGACTTCAACATTCTGCTGTCTTCTTTTGAGGTAGTCCTTCAGGTCTTCTTTGCTCCTCCCTGGAGCTCGGCTGTCTTTGGATTTTAGTCTTTTTGGTACACTGCTTTCGGCCTCGTGGTGGGTCCGTTTGGATCTTTCTCCGTGAGTTGTGTCAAAGCAGAGTGCTTGCCCTCGAACATGCCGATGTCCTTTGGGTTCTGGATTCTTCATGTGGTGCGTCCTTCGGGACTCTTCTTGCCTCGGCTCTTCTCGTCCGACTTCCTTGGAAGGCCGGGGGGAATGCCTTCCACTCCTGGTATGTTGAGGGACCTCGGGGATTGTTTTTCTTCCGTCCTTCTGGGTGTTGGTTACTGGCATCGGCGTATCTTGCAGCGGGTATGGTGGCTGCATAACATTATTCTGCATCATGAAGTTGACGACTGACTGAAGGTCTGCCAACTTGTTCGCCAATTCTTTTACTTCCTCATCCCTCCGTAGGCATCTGTCCCTCCATACCTGGAGGTTATCTTCATTGTAGTACTTTCCTTGGTCTGTCCTTTTTGATGTGTCGCCTTCCTGGATGACGTCTTTCTCTCTGTGACCCTGGTCACGGGCTTCTGTATTGTGGTTGTCTCCTTCAATGTCAAGGTCAATTGGTCTGCCACTCCCAGCGGGAGTGTCATCCCCAATATTTTCCTACTGTCCGTTACTGGCCATCTATTCTTCCTTCGTTCCCACAGACGGCGCCAAATTTTGTGGGTGAAAATCTGACCACACTCATGGTTAATAAATTTAATAAAAATAAATATATAATATTCAAATATATGACATTAACATTTACAAGAAACTTTCTAAATTTCATATATTGTCCATTACATTGACAAAACTAATTACAAGTAATTTATTGGGGTCAATTTATGAACAAATAAAAATTTATCAAAATTAATATATCGTTTCATTGGGGTCAATTTCTAAAAATCCCAAACTTGTTGTTAAAGTCCTATATATACACTACAATATTTTAAAACTTCACTGGTATCGACTAACTCCAGTACACTAGTAGCTCTGCCCCTGATATTGTATGTAATCTCTTCCGTGTTCTTAGTATTTGTGAATATTCAAACTTGGAAGGGATAATCCATGTTTGGTGTTAGTGTGTCACTAATATTTTGACAAAAAGAAAAATATTATATGATTTTTTTTATTAATTGATATGTGATGTCATGATAAAATTTGAAATAAAAGTCAGTTTAATAATATGATAATATCATATAAGTAGGACTCAAATGTCAAAATCGCTTGATTCACATTAATTCATCCGTTAATCATGGATTATTTGATTTACGATTTGAAATTTATAATTCGTTTTTCAAATTATCCCACAGTACCATAGTTTAATATATATATGTATATATATATTTTACTCAAAGTAAAAATAATTTAAGAGAGATTTAAGATGTAAAATTCATTACAAATATTATGTAAAATGAGTTAGGATTATATATGCAACAAATGTTATATAAATTATTGTTATATATTATGTAAATATTTGATAATTATTTAAAATTATTTGTCAATTAACTAACAATTAAAACTGTTCAAATCATAATTTAATTACAAATAATAAATTTATTAATCCATCATTCACCATTCTATTGTAATTTTATTATCAAATTACACCGTGCACACCTTATAAAACTTTAAAATATGAAAAGACAACCCATTTCAATAATAAAAAAAAGTCTCTATATAATTAAATAGGACATTAAAACATCTTTTTCCTTATTAGCTGTAAATATTCAATTAATCAATAATACCTGAATACTTTAATAATACCTGAATACTTTAATATAATTTATTGTGAGAATGTTCACACCTGTACGCATAAATATATATATTTTTGGTTTGTTAATGGAAGTATTCACTGCAATTGGTACGGAAATAATAATAAACGACAAAAATACCTGAACACACCATACTTACATTCGAAATTAACATTAATCATATGCTTCTAATCTAAATCTAATTTAATCTAAATAATAAAAAGTACAAACGATTCAAAAGCATAGGAACAATCGAGTCTCCAAAGTTTGTTTTGGTCGATCGGCGATCTATTTCCGTCACATTCGGAGACACGGCTTTTCTTTTCTGTCATTTTCTCTCCAGCCAAACACACACACACACTCTCTCTCTCTCTCTCTCTCATCAATTCCTGTTCCCTTCATTCATTCAACCACTGGTACAAGAAAGCAAGCAGGACAGGAAGAGAGCGAGAAAATAAAACAAGCTTCCCCGGAAAAAAAAAAGAAAAAGAGGAGAGCGTTTCACGGTTGTGTTTGGTGGGTGAATGAACCTTCTTTAATTTCATCTCCTTTTCCCTCGTGAATTCTCAACTCTCCTGTCCCCTCTCTCAATAAATTTTCTCTCTTTAAAGGTTTTGATTTGATTCATTGATTTGATTTTTTGTTTTGAATCAGTTTTGGAGGATTTGGATTTTTCAGATTATGATTGTGCTAGGTTTTTGTTTGTTTGTTTGTTCGGGATGAAATTCATTAGTTTTCGTTGATCAATGTGATGAGAATTTGCTGATTGTCGGTGTTTGGGAATGAAGCGGCGATGAGGTGTGAAGGAGAGAGATGGAGGGTAGATCTGAGGGTGTACAGTTGAGGTCTGATAAGATTCCGGCGCCGGTGCCGGCGCCGGCGATCCAGAGGACTCGGTTACAGGTGTGGTTCATCAGGGTTTGTTCCAGCATTTTGATATGGACCTGTTTTGTTCAGCTTGTGGCGGTGAGCGAGCTATGGCAGCCACGATTGTTGGCTGGGTTATCGAACCGGCTAATCGGGTTCACTAAAGTATCGTTCCAGGTCGAAGAGGTTCCGTTGTCTCCTCCTCTTCTTCCACCAAGTGAGTCCCTTTTTGAATTCTCTAACTTGCAATTGATTTGAAGGATTTGCCTGAAAATGCATTGAAGTTTGAGAGTGATTATGCACATGGGCATGTGTGGTTTTGAATTTTTCTATTGTTTTTATGATGCAATTGACAATTTGGATAACAAATTATCTATTTAAAGTAGCTAGATTTGTTACTAGTAAGATTAGTAGGTTCGATGATTTGAATTTTTGGATATATGTGGGGGAGCTTGTAGAAATGCAGGTTATTCTGATTCAATTATGTGCTTTTTTTCTTTTTTCTTTTTTTCTTTTAATTTGAAAGTTTTGTATTTAGTTAATATCTCCTGCTTGATCTATGATCTTGTTCATGGAATTACATGAAATTGATACTTTCTCATCATGGCTATTACGAAAAATGAAAGGGAGGGATTTGATTTTGTAACTTCATACTTGCAGGCTATAGCTGATCTGTAGAATTAGGGTATTTGAGGTTCAATCATGCCGAAGATTATTCATTCTCTCAACATCAGACATAGCCACTCTGATATATATATATATATATATAAAGAAAACAGCTGTATACTCCTTAACATATCCATTGACGAAGATTGAAAACTAGAAGAGTTGTTGGGTCCAAATATCTGATGACTATGCGTGTCTAGGCCAACAAAACTATTTAATATAATTATATCAACTAAGAAAATACTAGGTGAGTGGTAGAAGAGAATTTTAGTATGTACGAACAAAAATAGTGAGATGTTCAAAGTTGTACAAATTACGAAGGTATTAAGCTTATGATCATGGATACATGTATGGAAGGTCAACAATAGAAGTAGTTTATGTACTGAAGAGACTAATGGAAAGGTACAAAGAAATGAAAAAAAAAAATCCTCATGTGATTTTTATAGACCAGAAAACCTATGATATAGGATTGTAGTGATATAATATGGTTGGTTTTGTAAAATAAAGGGGTTATGAATTGATATATTGAATTTATAAGGATATGTATTGTGGAGCTATGACCACAGTGAACATACTCTTAGGAAAATGTAGTGATTGCGCTATCAATGCGGGTTTAAATCAGTGGTCTCATAAAGCCCATATATTTTTGTAGTAGTTATGGATGAATTGACAAATAATATACAAGATAAGGTACTATTGTGGATGCTTAGCGTTAATGATATTGTTTATTGGATAAACACAAGGACTAAATGTTAAATTAGAAGTTTGGACGGACAGGCTTTAGAGTCAACAGGGTGTACAATAAGTTGAAAAAAACTGAAGATATAGAATGTAGTTTAAGTAAAAGTTAAAAAATACCAACGTAGGTGCAATTATGCATAAATGGGGAGAGATTGGTAATGATGATACTCATAGTATTAAGACAAAATGTGCAAATGGAGGAGTGCATTTGATGTGATTGATGCATACCTATGAGTTCAAAAGAAAAATTTTGTAAGGCGGCTATGTGACCAACCATTATGGTAGTGTTGGACAATCAAGAAATAACGAGTTCACAAAATGAGTCTAGCCGAGATGAGGATGTCAAGGTGGATGTGTGTCAAAACTAAAAAAGATAGGATTAGGGAATGAACAAGATTTATGCTATAGCGTGCCCATTGAAGATAAAATGAGAGAAATTTGATTAAGAGGATTTGGCGTGGTACAATGAAGAGCATCAAATTTTCTCTTTTCCCATCATAACATCAAATTTTCTTGGATTCTTGATTAAATTTATGAGAAACAAAGACTGAATGTATGTTTTTTTATTCGGAGGTTCTTTTGTTTTCTAAAGAGGTATGAATTTGTGAACCATAAAGTCCTTCATCTCCTAGTTTTATTTTGGGAAAATTACTTACCAATCCTATTTGATGGACTTAAATACTTTTAAGTCCTGAACACTTTTTGAATGCATCAATAAACCCTAATATACTTATTTTGCTCTCATTCATTTATTCTCTTCTCTTCTCTATGTTTCTCTCTCTCCAACATTTCTCCAAGAAGACACTAACATTGCCATTGTTGCCGGCCACCTCCACTGCCATTGTTGCTTGCCAGTGTCACTGCCACCTCCATGACCACTATCACCGGCCACCACCACTGTCACCATCAACTGGCCACCGCCACCAATCTACACTCCACCATCATTGATTTACATTCCATCGTCGTTGATCCAGTGCAATTGTTCACCAATCACCTCCACCGTTTCCATTCTACACTCTACCCTGCACTATTGCCGATCCACCCATCTAGTTCTAGATCTACACCGATCTAGTTGTTCCAATAGTGAAATCGACTCCAAATGACTCCAGGCAACAGTGTTTTTAGATCTTGCTCCTCCTCCAGTCCATCTCTCTCTGTCTCTGTTTTTCTGTTTCTCAAGCCAAATCTGCTGCATATTCATTTGTCAGTCTCTCTTGTTCTTTGTGTGTGTGTTGGGGGTGTCTTGTGAGTGAGTGTAAGTGAATCAGATTCTGTCTATAATTTTCTACAAACCAGACTGGTAAATTTATCACTGAATGTTGTCTCAGTGAAAAATTGATCGAACTAGACTTTGTTGCTTCCTTTGTGTGTTTGTGTGATTGTGTTTGTGTGAGTGAATAAGTAAATGATAGTGAGTGTATGTAAATGTGAGTGTGTGAGATTGAGTGACTGGGTGGGAATAATCACACTAATTTTAGTATGATTTGGTAAGATACAGTGAACCTTTTCTTTTTCAATTGGAACTCTGACATATGATACCCTATAGAAGTTCATGATTTTCTACTCAAGAGAGTTTATTTATTGTAAACTAGTACTTACCACTCCTATTACTTTGCAGGGAACTACACAAGTAATGGTTTCCTAAAAGTGTCTTGCAATGGAGGCTTGAATCAAATGCGTGCTGCGGTTTGTATACATTATTTTTCTTTTTTCTGATGTGGTCTGCTCGTATTTATGTTGACTTATATTCTGTCTTTCAGATCTGTGATATGGTGACAGTTGCTCGTCTTTTGAATCTTACTTTGGTTGTTCCAGAGCTTGATAAGACGTCCTTTTGGGCTGATCCTAGGTATTTTTATTGGTCTGAAAAGTTGTGACTTCATTTTCTTTTCTTCATTCTTCTGAAGTGTCAACTTGTGGTATTTACTTGCAGTGATTTTGAGGATATTTTTGATGTGAAACACTTCATTGATTCACTAAGAGATGAGGTTAGAATTGTCAGGAGGTTGCCAAAGAGGTTTAATAGGAAATATGGATACCAACCTTTTGAGATGCCTCCTGTTAGCTGGTCAAATGAAAAATATTACTTAAAACAGGTTTGTGTACTTTCTAGTTGTTTTTTACGCGAGCAAAATACAAATATTTTACTCATGTAAATCTATGGCTTGTTTGAAATGACATTGGCTGAAAATTTGATTCCCCTCTCTCTCTCTCTCTCTCTCTCTCGGATAATTCTCTGCAGTTGTGCGTGTGTAAAATTTTGTAGATAATCAATTCAGAAAATAATGTTGACATTGACTATCCAAATCTGGAAAATAACTTTTGCATTTGCTCTACAGCCACCCCCTCCCCAAGAAAAAAAGGAAAAAAAGGAAGGGAAACTTCAATCTTTATTGAGATGTGTTTGCCAAACTGTAAATTGTTTAGTTTGGTCATGCAAATGCAGATATGCTCATTCTAGATTCTACACCCTTGTATTGATTTTAATTGATATTCACTCCCTCTTGTTTTTGAGTGGGGATACAAAGCATACAGCTGAGTATAAGTACACTCAAGTTTGCTTTGGTTGGCTTTGGATCAATCTTTAGATAACTTGAGCCAGACCATTGTGAAATAGCCTCTCCGTTTCTTATTTCTGAACTGCTGAGCATCCTGATCTGATGGTTTTGCTTCATTTTGCAGATTTTGCCCCTTTTTGACAAGTATAAGGTGATACACTTCAACAGAACAGACACTCGTTTGGCAAACAATGGCATTCCTCTCTATCTTCAGAAACTCAGGTGCCGTGTCAATTTCCAGGCACTGAAATTCACTCCTGAGATTGAGGCTTTGGGATACAAATTGGTTCGAATTCTTCAAGGAAAGGGACCCTTTTTAGCATTGCATCTAAGATATGAGATGGACATGTTGGCTTTCTCGGGTTGTACCCATGGCTGCTCCAAGGAGGAAGCTGAGGAGCTGAAACGGTTGAGGTAACTGCATTGTAATTTTCAAACATTTTTTTTAGTAGAATCTTATCTTTCCTCGTTGCTTATAATATATCTCAATTAGACAGTTGTACAGTGAATAAATTTAATTTGGTAATACATAACCAATATTGAGAAAATTTTATTGTTTCATACCAGTTCATACTCTTGAAAAGGATATTGATTGTGTGAGATGATTTGCTGGTTTAACTTAATTGAGTTGTATTTGGGTCTGCCAGATACTGGTGATTTCTTTCTGTTGTTTTTGAAACAGTTGTTAGATGCTGGTTAAGGCAAGAACTTTTGCTTCGACTTAGCTGACCTAATTTATGAATCTGATGTTCTCTTTACTCAATAATCGTATCTTAGAACAATCATCAAAGAGATTAGGTCTGGTCATTTAATGAGAAACATGTAATAAATAAAATGTTTCTTTATTGCATTGTTGGTCCAGGTATGCATTCCCTTGGTGGAGAGAGAAAGAGATAGTGTCTGAAGAGAAGAGATCACAAGGTCTGTGTCCACTTACCCCAGAGGAGGCAGCATTAGTTTTACAAGCATTGGGTTTTGATAAGGATACACAAATATATATTGCATCTGGGGAGATTTATGGTGGTTGGAGGAGACTTGCGGCATTAAGAACTGCATTTCCACAGATTGTGAGTTATTTTTACCTCGTGTCTTGTCTTTTTTGTTTTGATCCTGCAAATTTGAAACTTCTGAAATTTTGTAACCCTGCTGAATGCTTGTGAAACTTCAGATTTTGCCCAAAATCTGTCGATCATCATTTTAGGATGAATATTAATCAGCTCATGATGATGTCACGCCAAGGTACTTGGTGCTTGTAGCATGCATGTTGAAGGTCAAGGATGCCTTTTAAATTTGATCTGTCCTCCTAAGGAAAATGAATGACTGATGCTTTATTTAGAATGTATTTATCAGTAATAATTATTAAATACACAATGGTCCCTTAAGTATGTGTCTCGTATCATTTTGGTCTCCGATGTTTCAAATGTGTCAATTTGATCCCCAACCTATTAATTTTGTCACTAAGTGGTCCGTTCCTCCGTTTCGGTCTACAATTGATAAAGGAAGTAACGGCATTTTTGTCAACCCACATTTACACATCAGCAAAAAAGTAGTCCCCAAAGAATGTGTTTTGTTACATTTTGGTCCCCAATATTTCAATTGTGACAACTTAGTCCCCAACTTATTCAGAGTCATAAGAGGTTTGAAGAAAATGCCTTTACTACCATTGTCAATTGTAGATGGAAATGGAGGTGATAACAAAATTAATAGGTTGAGGACCAAATTGATACATTTGAAACATCAGGACTAAAATGACACAAGACGCATACTTTGGGGACTAATTGTGTATTTAACCCAAATAATAATAATAATGTTTGACCTGGATCTTCTAACTTATTACATGTTATTGATGGTTATGAAACTTCATCATGATAATATCCATTAAAATGACAAATGGGACCATTCTGATCATTCTTATTCACATGAGCTTGGGAGCCTTACCAGGCAGGAACAAGTCCAGAGTATGCATATTTATTTGTGTAAAAATATATGTATTATTGATTGATGAATTGATATATTACAATGATTCATGATTCCTATATATGGAAGAGGGTGAGTGTGTAGTAGGTAAGGAGTAGGTGAAGTGGAGGTGGTAGTGGTGTAGTGGGTTAGGTTTAGTGGAGTAGGTGAGGTGGTAGTGGTGTAGTGGGTTAGGTTTAGTGGAGTAGGTTTAAGTGGGTGAAGTAGGTGAAGAGTAGGTGGATTTTAACAATTTGGTTAAGCATGGGCATGGTTGTCTCTCTTATATGTAACTGCAGATTTCTTAATTACAATTGGCTACACTTTCTAGTAATTTTGTGTTGTGTATGATTATTGAATTCAGCCGCAATTGTAATTTTCAGGTGAAAAAGGAAATGCTGCTGGATCCAGAAGAACTGCGGCAATTCCAGAATCATTCATCTCAAATGGCAGCCTTGGATTTCATGGTTTCAATTGCCAGTAACATTTTTGTCCCAACTTACGATGGGAACATGGCAAGATTAGTGGAAGGTCACCGCAGGTATATATATACCCTACTTTGCAAAACAAGATGACAAATTTGCAACAAATCTTGAAGACATTCCTGATTAGAACTCACGCAGGTATCTCGGGTTTAAAAACACCACCCAACTTGATCGAAGAAAGCTTGTAGAGTTGTTGGATTTGCATCAGAATGGGACGCTATTGTGGGATGAGTTCTCAGTTCGTGTTCGGCTGGCACATGAAAAAAAAATGGGTCAGCCAACTCGTCGTATTGTTATTGCAGACAAGCCCAAGGAAGAAGATTATTTCTATGCGAATCCTCAAGAGTGCCTTTGTGAGAGAACAAGTTGTGATGACTTGTTACTCTCTGGCAATTCGACTACAATCCAGTGAGGTATGCCATAAAATCTAAATGCTCCTTCATTTTGGGTGCCCTGTTGGTAGCCCATTGCAGAGATATTCTGGTGAACCAACCAGCGCTTGAAATGACTGTATGCTCGTTCCTAACGGGTTATCTAACCTGGAGTTCATTCGGGTGTCTAAAGAATTGTTTTTGTATCCGATGAGCTTCTTGGTAAGAAACGGCGGCAAAGAAATTTGAAAGTTCTCCTTTTGGGCACATTTAGAGATGTATTCATCATTCCTTTGTTCATATGTTATTTTTTACTTTATTCTCTTGGTTGACTTGACCAGTGCTGTTACATAATTTCCCACAGTTAAAAGGATGTTGCAGCATTGTATTTATTTTTCAGAAGCTCTCAAATGCAATACTATTGATGTGTTATTGTTTGAAGGAACGCTTTTTTAAGGTGCCTTTACAACGATTATAACATGAATAGTTGGCCCTTCTTTTTCGAAGTCAACCTTCTTTATTCTTGCTTTGCTTTTCAATAAGGGGCGCTAGTGCACTTTGGAAAATAAGAAAAAGTGAAATTCAAACTAGAAATGTTTACAGTGCTCTTGGACAAGGGCATTAATCCCTTGCATTACCGCTCTCAGCATTCTTATGTTGGAGCTCCATCAAGATGCTAAAATCCTTGTTCTTTTCACTTGATCCTCAATTTTCTCAATCAAATTTGTTTTTCCTCGTCTTAAAGAACTCATAAGCTATATCTCAAAATTTTTATCTGATTCAACGATTGTGTTCAAATAAAAAGATGAGAGATTTGAGAATTGAGAAATTTGGAGATGTAATTCTTGGCCTGTGTGGAGATGATGAATGTCTTGAGAAGGCTCATTAAAGAGCTTGGAGGTAGCTTAATAAATATAGATTTAGAAACAATAACATTTTCTTCTATACCTGTTTTGGCTCACAGAAGCATTGTTCTCCTCAGTACGGATCTAAAAATGATTGCAATAAATACAAGAAAATGTAAAAAGACAATAATAATTATTAAAAAGATAACTTGGTTTCCAAGTGAATGGAGGAAATGGCATATTACAGATTGATTGTCACTCTTGTCATGGAAATGCATCAGGTCAGAGTTTAAATAATACATATGGGTAACCACTCTCTGTCTTTTGAGTAGGAGGTAGCCTAGCGATAGGTAAATCTGGGTAACATAGACTAAGCTTTAAGTTGTGAAAAAAATTAAGACAAGAAAATAAACCTCTGTAGAAAGATCCATATCCAAATCTCCCCGGAAACTTGATTAATGGTCTGTATAAGCTGTTCTCTTTTCTCTGGTCAGTACATTGGAGTCTTCATTTTCCGTAGCATTCACGGAATTGCCTCTTAAACCCCATTTTGTAATCGCTACATGTAGAAGACCTCGGAATTTCCTACTTGGGCTCCCAGAAAATTATTTCGCCTAGCTCGCCAGCGAGGCCAAGATCCTTGAGCCTCCTTTCTTGATAGTATTCCAACTCATTCAATTCTAGTTCCCTCTCCTTGAAAATTCCTTCTATTTGTTGTAACACTTTCTTCTCCCCTGCTCTAATCCCGACTGCTATCCGAAGCCTCGGATCAAGATTTTCGTCTTCCATCAACTTCTCATCCTGCATTCAGCTTTTCTATTTAATTATTACAAACTTTAGAGCAATTAAGTCTCGGACAGTATCAAGTAGCAACAACAAAACTGTGTATATTCAGCTTTTCTATTTAATTATTACAACTTTTAGAGCAATTAAGTCTCGGACAGTATCAAGTAGCAACAACAAAACTGTGTATATCAGTGTTACTAGAAGAAAAAAAAAAAAAAACAGCTAATACCTTAGCAATTTACGTTTTGGAACATACATTATGAAATATAGTACATTTTCGATCCAAAGCAATCCCAAAAATATTTTCCAATACAGCTTTTAAAAGTTATCTTAGGATAAAAATAATAAAATATATAACAAATTAAAATCTAGAGAGTGGAGTTTTGTTATGACAAAATGTAAAAAAAAAATAATGTCATAATGCTCATAGAAACGTGTTGTAACATGATTAATTTTTAAAAGAAAAGCAACATTTTATGGAATCTCTAATTGTTAAAAGAAAATTGTTTTAGAGAAATTTTAAATTTTAATAGTATAATCTAAACAAGTCTACACCTATCATACTGCATTTTAGAGAATGTAGTATACCATGTTACCGATCCATGTACCATGAAACGTAAGTGCATATTTTCATCTATAAATGGATGATCTTTTTTTTTTTTTTACCCCTCCCAAAAAAAAAAAGAAGATAGTGTGGGAAGAAACCATCTCTTACAATTTGGAATAGAAGATTAATCTAAAACAGTGTTACCACATAACAACAAAGCATTATTAATGTGACTCTGGAGATTCCAAGGATGTCTAGGCAGTCAAACTTAGTTCAATTATGTAATTCTTATTTATCAATTATTTTATGCCACATGCATAAAAAATAGATAACTAGATTAACATAAAATAAGAACATACTATAAGGGAAATGAAAATTAAATACAATTTACCTCTTCAATCGTGGTATGATAGCCAGCAAGAGCAGAGTTACAAGCACTGCAGACAACTTGGCATATGAGCTCTTCATTGGCACGGCTAACAGGCAAGTCAAGGTGGCCCCAAACAGCGTTTCTAAATATGGACTCGAGGAGAAAAGCATCAGTTCCCCTAAGTGCTACGAGCCGCAGATACGGAATCATTGCAGGTGGGAGAGGACTGCCCAAAGTGATGTCGAAGTATGCAGTTTCGCTCAGACCATTTGATTCAGCAATGTCCAGCTTGTCCCCAAAAAATTCATCCGATTCAGATATTTGTAGCGTTAAGGTATATGCATTGCGCTCTGGCCTTGATTCTACGAATCCATAATCCATAGCCAACTCAGCATTGCTCTTATCCAGATCGTATTGTATCAGTACCTATCAGATAAAGCTATGTTATATAAGATCTTGTATAACCATTTACTTGGATTTAAAAAAAAAACTCCATTCAACCTTCCAATGCTAATTTCAGGATTTCGGGGTATTGATGAGGCAATTTTTCTGTGTTTCATTGTTTGATAGTTATCAAAGTACTTTATATAACTTCATAACCGCAAGTTATTACAATGACGCCCTACAACTTCCATATCAATCATTCAAACATTACAGTATAAATTCTTGATTAAGTTTTCAATAATTTTATACAATATATATATTTTCAGAATTTAGTGGGTTGTGATCATAATCTTGGCCTATTCACTAGGCCTAGACAGTTTAGACATAAAAGATTTAGTTAATATCTTGTTTTGTTTTTCAAAATTAATATCCAATCCAATAGACTAGAGGCATGTATATTTACTGATTTGGGATCCCACTGATTTGTCTAAAATCTCCGCCACAAAAACCTTTCAGAATATATATAAATAGAGGCATACATAATTGTTTAAGCCACTAGTGCTGAAATAATACAGTTAAAACCGCAGGTCTACATACCAGAAAAAGATCAGAAAATTACCCAGAATTTACAATCTAAGGCCAAAATTCATTCATGGAATGGCCCCACAACAAGAAGATTAAATCTACACCCTAGATTTGAAATTCTGGATAATTTTCAGGTTATTTTTTCTGGGTTCATAGACATTTCCCCATTCAAAATATCACAAGCATGAAAATTTCACCTGCTCACCAGCCTTGACATATACTGGACTCCGTAAAGAGAATAGAAGGTCCCTAGAGAAAAGACCGGCTCCTTTGATCTCATATGCATATTCCTCTGTGGTTATGTTGGGGCTGTGGTTGATCTGATACAAAAGTTAGGTTTGAAGATGTGAAGTTTCTGACTAAAGGCAGTTAAATTTAACAAAACATCACATGAAAATAGAACACTGCAGAACTGGACTTGAATTCTTTATTTGATACAAAACATGGTGGTTGAAGATGATATCCTTGATTACTTTGTCGAAAAACTACCATGAGATTGTGGGTGAGAATGCAAAGGGTGTAGTGAGCAACTGAACAGCAGTTTTTGTTTGGTTGATTTTACTTTTTGGTCCTTAGAGTAGCTGTTATGTTAAATATTTGGGTTCAAGCGTAGTGAATTGTGTGATTTATATAATAAAATATATAAATTTTTTTAGTTGGTAATAACATATTTGTCATTAATAAGTAGGATTTGTATTGTTCATAAAATGTTCTCATTATAAAACAGACAAAATATATAAGATATTATAAAATCCACAGCCATTATAGTTGTATATATCAACTTCAGATGCGGATGCTAGTCAGATTGGACATCTTCAGTGTGTGTTGCTGTGTTTTGAGGCTATGTCTGGTCTTCGTGTGAATCTCTCAAAGTTTGAATTAACTCCAGTAGGTGAGGTGGTTCGGCTCCCGGTGTTGGCAGCAATTTTTGGTTGCAAGATGGCGTCTCTGTCAGTTTCGTGTCTTGGTCTTCCTTTGGGTGCTTCTTTCAAGGCCCTCGTGGGGTGGGACAAAGTGGTGGAGCGTGTGCAGCGGCAGTTGGCAGGGTGAAAGCGTCAATATTTATCTAAAGGTGGGAAGATTACGTTAGTCAAGAGTGTCTTGTCGAGTATCCCAACTTATTTTATGTCGGTTCATGTGATCCAGATGACAGTTGCGAAGCGGATTGAGAAGTTGCAGCGGGATTTTTTATGGGGAAATGAGGGGGAGGGTTCTCATTCTCATTTGGTGGCATGGGATTGGGTTTGTCATCCTAAGGAGTTAGGGGTTTTGGGAGTTAGGTGGTTGGTTATGTTTAATTTGGCATAACTGGCTAAGTGGTTGTGGCGTTTTGTGGGGGAAATGGAGCATTTATGGCGGAAGGTGGTTGTGGCAAAGTTTGGTCTGGGTAGAAGGGGGTGGTGCTCAGGTAGGGTGGGACACCCTCATGGTTGTGGTGTCTGGAAAGGGATTTGGTTGGGTTAAGCGAAGTTTTGGAGAAGGATTCAGTTGAAGGTAGGGCTGGGCGATAGAGTTCGTTTCTAGGTGGTGTGGGGATGCCTCTCTAGAGCACCTGTTTCCTTTGATTTTTGGGATTGCAGAGGATTGTGAGGTTATGGTGGAGGCGGCTCGAATAGGTCAAGGATAGGTGGTGGTATGGAATATGCGGCTACGTCGTGAGGTTTAGGATTGGGAGATGGATTAGTTAGTGGAGCTGTTGGGTTTCTTATATGGGTTGCAACCTGGGGGTGCAGGGGAAGATTCTATAGTTTGGGCCTGTCCCGGTTCTAAGGGGCTTTTCTATGTGTCTTCCTACTATGGTGTGCTTGTTTATGTTGATGCGGTTTTGTTTCCTTGGAAATGTGTCTGGGTGTTGGGCATGCCATCCAAGGTAGCTTTCTTTGTGTGGACGGTGGCCTTAGGTCGTATTCTGACGATTGACAATTTGATGTGTTGTGGGCATATATTGGTGAATTGGTGTTATTTGTGTGGTGGTGATGCTTAGTCAGTGGACCATTTGCTCTTTCATTGTCTAGTTACATATCGGCTCTGGATGCTTATTGTGGGGATTTTTGATTTGGTTTGGGTGGAGCCAGGTTCAGTGTTGGCTTGCAAAGTTGGGCTGGGGATAGGGTTGGGAGGAGACGTTGGAAGGCATGGCTGATTGCCTCTGACCGTTTAATGTGGCTTATTAGGTTGGAGCTTAACAAGCGTGTATTCGAAGGGGTGTCTCAGTCAATTTCTTGGCTGGAGAGGCTGCTACTTATGGTGCTATATAATTGGGTTAGAGGATTGGTTGATCCATATGTTTTAGCTTATGTTGATTTCATAGAGGATTTGATAGTTTAGCATTGTTTCTTTGGGGGTTTGAAATTGTATTCTTTGCATCATCTTAACGCTTTTCTAATAAATTTACTTATTTATCAAAAAAAAAAATATCAACTTCAGTAATTCCTGGAATAATTATATTGAGTAATACCTTCACACCATCCAAAGACATAATATGAAGCATAATATTAATATTTTTACGGAGTTGATGCTGAATCATGGCCTAGAAAACATGGGCTCTCTTTACTGGAATTAGAGAACTTCTGTTCTTTGTTCACAAGCTATATTACTCTGATAATCAAAGTTCGAAAAACAGTACCAATGAAAGCTGATTTCATGGGGGAGAAAAGAACATACCAGGTCGGCAAGAGGGATCAGAACAAGATTTTGTCCACGAAGGCGAGAAAATGCTCTTGATTTGAGTATCCCAAACACCCACAGAAAATCATCAAATGTTATAGGGAAAGGGAAAAGCTGCTTATGAGGAAGTATGACTTCCTCTTCCACTTTTTCAAATTCACTCTGCACATATTCTTTCACCCCCATTGTCGTGCTCAACAGTTGGGTCCCTGCAAAATTTTAGTTCTATCAAAATTCCAATTCTGGATGACAAGAAAATGCAGCCAATTGGTAGATTAACTATAAACCATAGAGACATTGTGATCAGCCCACACGGACGTTTTGTTTAGAGTTTTTGGTCTTATGATTAAGATCTCAAAATAGGGTTAACCTTATTTACTTGTTGGATCAATGTTTTGAGTTCAAGCATCTTTAGCCCTCAGCAGCTTACAAGGCATTTGAAATGAAAAGGAAAATGCCACTTCTATTAAAAAAACAAACTTTGCTTACAAAGTGATGTGGCACCTAACTTGAATTTGCCACATTACCATGTGGTTTAAGGGCATCTCCAACCTTTGACTCAAACCTATATCAAACTTAAAATTGGGTAATAGCCACTCAAAAATCTCTCCACTCCTTGACTCAAACTTATTTCAAATTGAGTTTTACCCATTTTTTTACCCAAGTCAAAGGAGGCTCAAACGTTTACTCCTGTTTTCAAGACCATTTTGTAGCTTCCAATTATACAACTCTACTATTACTGAAGCTTTCACTTAAATTTATGCTTAAATACAAATTTATCCATTGGAGTACATCATATCAAATATGTTTTTCACTCAAATTTGAGTAAGAGCTGGAGATGGCCTAAGAAGAACACATTTAGTGACAAGACGCATCAATTTGTAAAGTAAGTTCGCAAATTTCTTTCCCTGGAGTTTATGTTGGAAAAATGGTTTTATATAGGCTTATTTTGGGCCATTTTTTAGCCCAAAATTGAGTGGGTCCCAAACATCTTTCGGGGTGGGTCTGAAGAGGTGATGTGTTCCTTGCTGCTTGGTAAGTTACACGGTGAAAACGATTCGTCAAAACCATTTTTGACTGAATGGGAAGTTGATGTCGTTTTTAGGTTCGTGGAATTAGACATTTAAAGATTTAAATGTGGGTTTCTTTGTAAAGCTAATCCCACATTGAAACTTTAAGAGAGTTGTGGGGATATAAGCTCTTAGTGTACTAACTTGGGTTGGGTCCCAAGGGGCACCCCAAGTTTGTAGAAGGGAGTAGTTATGGACAAATTGAATCTTAGCCCAAACCACTACACGCGCCTCCGTCCCTCTGGGTGTGGACCGGGTCGGTTCTAACATTAATTTTTTGGACAAAATTTATTTGAATTTTTTCAAAAAATTCTTGTAGTAAATTATTTGTATTTCAAATTAAATTTGAATTCAAATTTTTTCCAAAATTTTGTCTCTTCCTCATTCCTCAACAGATTCAATTTTCAAACAGGTCTTAAACTGCCAAAACTTCCCAGCAGTTTCGGACTGTTTTCCCAGACAGATTCAGTTCTGTAACTGCTGTGAATCTGTTTGAAATTCAAATTATATCTGTTTGAAATAGTGTTGCACCTGTTCGGTTTAAACTCATATCTGTTCCAGGTTTATATCACACCTGTTCGGCCCTATATATTCCAGCACAGTCCAACAGATTTGGCATCCTGAAATTATCCTGAAATTTCTTTGTTTCCTTCCTATTTTGCTCTGCATTATTTATTCTACATTCTAGTTTTAGAGAATTTTAAAGAGAGTACAGAACACAAGGTTCTAGTTCGCCGGACAAATTTGTTTTGGAGTGCTACTACAAATTTGTGAAAATCATTGTATCTTGGGAGATAGACGCCACTTACCCGTAAGCACCGTAACGGGGAGAATCTGTTTTAAGGATAGACTGTCACACACTCGACTTGGTCTTTAAAAATTCATGCGGTTCGGTAAAAATAAATTCGGTACGTAATTTATTTTATTTGTTTGATTTGTTTCAATTTATTTGTTTTTCACATAAGATTGTTCTAACAGTTTAGACAAAAAAGTGTCAACACATCTATCAAATTTTACTTGAATATAACAAAGTTTGAGAGGAAAAACAAAAAATAAAGTGGGTTACCAGACATTGCATCAAGCACCATGACTCAAACAGGCATTTGCATTTTACTTCACCATTGTAAACAATATGGATGACCAACCACACACATTTGCATCAAATTGTCCATAAGCAGCACCAAATTAAATCCCAAACTTAACTTCAAACTCGAAAATTTATATGATTCAAATTCAAACAATAAACAAACGACAATTCAAACATCAAAGAAACCTTGTAACACACTAACCTTGAATCTCAGAGAGCTCCTCTTCTGACCTGCACTGGATACATCAAACAACACCAGAATTTCAAACCCATCAAAAAACCAACCAAGTAAGACAAGCCCAAATCACTGAATCACAAAACCAACAACCAAACAAAGCCAAACCCACCAATATATAGTAGAATCAGTGTACTCTGGAAGAATATCAATGTAATATCGCCACTTGGAGTCATCTCCTAACTTCTTCTCTCTGATCAAAAACAGAGCAACAGAGACCCAAGGCTTCAAACCACCGCAAACACTCCCAATCACCGAACCCGAGACTGTATCTGGGTTGATCCAGAACTTCTTGGGTACTTCCAAAACGACCTCATTTCGAGCTATGTTTCTCTGAGCAACCAGTCCCAGACCTTCAGGTACAATTCCGGGCTTCACCGGAGACTTGGAAGAGATGATTCCTTCGCTGGAGAGCCACTGCCAGAAGGTTTGGATGGCCAGTGGTGGTGGGTCAGATTCAGGGGAGAGAAGAGAGTGTACAGAGAGAGGGGTTTTGAAATGGAGGGTTTGTTTGTTTCTTGGGAAAGTCGATTGATTTAGGGAATTTTTGAGAGAGGAAAGAAAAGCGGAGGAAGATAAAGGGAGGGAGAAGAGAGTGGCCATAGTCTTTCACTTCTACTGATGATGGAGTGGAGATGAGGTGTGTAAGGTAACCGTTAATGTGGTTGTGGGTGGATAGGGTTTTCAAAGTTATTTATTTATTACTATTGTTATTAGTATCACCTCACTGGTTTTCCCATTTAAAAAACACTTTTTAAAAAATTTTACTTTTTTATTTTTTATATTTTTTTGTTTTTATTAAATTTTTTTAATATTTTAAGCAATTTTTTTACCTTTTAGATAAACTTAACATAAATATACTTAAAAAGTAAAAAAATTGTAAAAAAAATCTTTTAAAAATTCACTAAACACCAAAAATATTAAAAAAAATTACAAGAATTCAGTACATTTTTTATATTTTTATGTATTTATTAATTTTTTAAAATATTTTTTAAAATATTTTTTACTTTTTAGATACATCTAAGTAAGATGCATCTAAAAAAGTAAAAAAAAATGTTTAAAATTGAAAAAATATTCACTAAAAACAAAAAAATACGAAAACCAAAAAAGTCAATTTTCAAAAAACTTAATCGAGAAAACTCAAACCAAACACATTGATTAGTATTATTATTATTTTTTTTTAATTAAACTACGACCTATTTAAATTTTGCATCATGAATTTCAAAAACTTAACAATTAACTTCCTTTAAGTATTATCTTATTATAGTTTTATATGTAAAGCATATGGCACATTTATTAAAATTTTAGAGCAATAATGACCTTTATCTCACTATAAAAAAAATTATTTTTTGCGACGGCAAAGCGCCGTCTCAAATACTCCAAATGCCGTCGCAAAAGGTTTTTGCGACGGTAAAGTGACTTTTTGCGACGGCAAGTGAGGGTCGCAACAAAGGGTGTTGCAAAAGGGTTTTAGCGACGGCATAAGGCCGTCGCCTTTTTTTTGCGACGGGAAAATGCCTTTTTTGCGACGGAAAATTTCTGTCACAAATAATGGATGAAAATATGAGTTTTTTGCGACGGCATTATTTGCCGTCTCTAAAGGGATTTTTTGCGACGACAGAACACATCGTCGCTAAAAGTGTATTTGCGATAGCAAGCAGAGCCGTCGCTAAAGGACTATTGGCGACGGCAATAAAACCGTCACTAAAGGTATTACATTTCAACCAATTTCCTATCTTTTGCGACAGTAAAGGTGCCGTCGCAAAAAACTCCGGTTCAATTTGTTTTTGAGACGGTGTGTGCTGCCGTCTCAAAAAAAAAAAAAATGTAATAAAATTATTAAAATTATGAAAATGACCTGTATTAAATAAAAAATAACTTTAAAAAAAACCAATAATTACAAAATAATATAAAAAGTCCAGTATATAAATAAAAAATCATCCATAATTAAAAATATGAAAATTCATCCATAATTAAAAATATGAAAATTCATCTTCTATTTTTTTCTTTTTGCTATCATATATTGTACAAGAAAGACTAACTAATTAACAAACTTCATGCAGATACCTTTGCCACAAAACCCCCCAAAAAAAAAAATTTACAAATTAGAAATGGACGCATAAGACTTTGCAAACAACTGCAATTAGAAAGAGGTTCAACCCTTTCAATCAATTACCCCATCTGGGAAATCTTCTATGCACTCAATGTAGGAGATAGAAAACCTGCTCCAAAGTCACCCCCAAGAAAGACAAGTAGCTGCTGTCCATGCTCAGCACAGTAACCCACAAGCTCAACTACATTAGCATGTTTAAGCTTGGAGACACTAAACACTAGGTCAAGGAAATCTTCATTGCTCTGCTTCCTGCAAGCTGTAGTATCGAGTTTCTTGACTGCTAGTAGCTAAGAAAAGCATAATTAAGTCAGAAAAGATTCTGTGTCAACAAAGAAAATAGTATCATCAAACTTCTATTCAAAACAAATCATTCACATTTCCTGCATTCCAGACCAGAAACCCTCTCAATGAAAGCATTCAACCGACACTAGAAATAAATGAAAGTTATCTACCAAAGACGCAAACAAAACTATATCAAAATTTGTCTAGTAAATGAAGAAGCATGTTTGATAACCATGATAAATTAATCATGTTTGATTTCCAATCTAAATGATAAATTAGTAAATAATAAAAGTAAACTTAAAAATCAAACAGTGTCTCTTTTGTTTTGTGATTCATCCGTTTTTTTGGCCACAAATTGAACATTTGCATAGCTGGGATTTGGGAACCAAGGGGAGCACAACCCTAAATTATTATGTGCAAAACCCATTTTTTTTTAATAAAGTTATCAGGATATGTATCGGTATGAATGATACGGTTAATATCAAACAGTATCGACAACTAATATCAATTAATAATGGCATCAGAAGTCCAAAATCCCAAACCATAACAGCTGACATTTAAAACTCTGGCAAAACCTCTTCATATTTGGTTTTTCATTTTTCATGAGAAAGAGGGCTAAAAATATCTTTAAAATTAAACAAAGAAAATAGATTGCCCCATTCCTTGGTTAATCTATATCAGCAGTCAGCACCAAAGGACAAAATAAAACAACAGATCATAAAAATATAAAATTCAAAAACAAAATTAATTCAAAAAATAAAAAGACTGAAAAGTAGCGGAAGCACTGAAGATCATGGAGTTATTAACTAAACCCATGTCATTTTCGAACAAATTACCCTAAACCCTAAACTTATTTCTCAAACCCAGGATGTGAAATATGTTCAAAACAACTTGGGATTAGGGAAATCTGTTTCAAAATAACACGAGTTTAGTGATCAAACTCGTAGATCATACATAAATTTCTAAATCTATACATACATAACAAAGATCGGAAAATACAAATCAAAGCAAAACCATCATCAATATCTAAAATTAAAAGTAAATAAAAGAATATACAAATACTAGATTTGGGGGTTTAAGATTTACTAATAATTGAAGTAAGGAAAACAATATCAAAAAATTTAGACACAGTAGGCCACTAATTTTTGGGTTTTATCATAAGCACATAAAACATACATAATCTCAATAAGAGGTATGATAGTACCTCTGCCAACATGTGGTCAGCTTCATCAAAAACAAGAATCTTCAAATAGTTCGTGCTCAATTTCTTTGCTGTCACCCATTTATTGATTGTACCAGGAGTGCCAATCACTACTTGTGCTGTCACTGGTGCTTGTTTTGAAATTGGAACATAATTGCTGCTATCCATTGGTATAGCACATTCAGAAGTAATTCCTGTATAATTCCCCATCTTCTTAAGAACTTCCATGTTCTGCATCATTGTCATCCACTACTATTAGTTAAATCCTAAACTCACAAACACTTTAGAGAAAAGTCCCAACAAAATGTGTACACATGATCCACTTGCTACCATTGATTAAATATTAAACTACATGTTAAAGAACACTGATCTTTAAACCCACCAGAGAACCATATATCATTAATTCATCCTTAGTTTCACAAACATTGCAGAACAGAATATAACAAATACATAACTACATAGACTAGCAGCCAAATAAATAAATAAAATCACCACAGCGAACCCAACCAACAAAACTTAACCACCCACAAACAACCTAAAGAAACCACACACAACCACACTTTCCCCGTTGGTAATTGGCTATTTTAGTTGATTTTATATTTCGCTTTTTGGTTACAAACCCATTCGCCAAATGAAGTCTAAAATCCAAAAAATTGAGCTTATATTTCATTAACATTTTCCTCAGATTTTCCCATTCCCTATCCAAATAATCCATGATCCTTTTCCCTATCCAAAGGTTGAGGGGAACCCTGAATTCACAAAGACACTTCAAGGATTAAAAGAGAACAAAATATACATAAAGGAATAAGTAAATATGATTAAAACACTGAAATCCCAATCCAAAGAGTACCATTAATTAAAACCAAATTCACATGCCAAAAAAATATATATATTAAACAGAGTTCAAACATTCAGATACTTGTAAACATCAACAAATAGAAATTATGTACAAATTTGCATATGTTAACAAACCTGGATCGCCAATTCTCGGGTAGGGCAGATACAGAGCGCCTGAGGAGTAGTGAGTTTGGGATCAACACGGCTCAACATGCCAAGCACGAAACAAGTAGTCTTGCCAGAGCCATTGTGTGCCTGAGGGATCAAGTGCTTGTAAGGAGGGGTCAGAATCATAGGCAAACTGATTGTTTGGATCTTACTCGGCCTCTCAAACTTCATCTCCACATATAAACCCTTCAACAAATCGGCAGACAGATTCAATTCTTCGAACAGGTCTGCTTGGCCTCCGAACAGGTCTGCTTGCATACAGGACAATTTCTCTTCTTCCCATATGAACAGTACTCGAACCATTGTTGAATGCTAGGGTTTTTACAAAGGTAAATAACAGAATTTTCAATCGATTAATGTGAATGAGTGTGTGTGTATATATATATATATATATATATGAAATATAAATGAGTGATGACTGACCAGAGCTCGTGGAAGACGTGACCACAAATGGAGATGGATTGAAGGTCTTCGACGATGGGTTTGAGATCTTTGTAGCAGATTGAGCATATGGTCTTCGCAAATGTGTTGCCGCATACCATCTCTCCGCCTCTCTCTCTCTCGATCGACGGCGAGCGGCGGCAGACGACGGAGAGCGGAGTCGATCGAGAGAGAGGGGTAAGAACAGATTGGGATTTTTGGTTTTGGCCGGGCGGGCGATGGGGAACAGAGCGGGAATGAAAAAAAAAAAAGGGAAGGGGATGAAGGAAAAAAAAATCAATTTTTTTTTTTTGTTTTGAGTCACAAATTAAATTTAAACAATAAAATAACGCCGTTTAACACTTTTTTTTTTTTTTGCGACCAGGGTTGCCGCCAGCAAAAAAATTTATTTTTTGTTAAAATATTTTTTTTTGTAGTTAATGAATTTTTTAAAAAATATTTCATTTTTATTTTAATGAAAAAAAATTTATTATTATTTTTTTATTTAGTAGAAGTATGGGTAATATTTTAATGAAAAATATTGTAATGATAGTCGTAGAGGTGAAATGGCGACCGTGGTAGTAGTGGTGGTAGTGAAATGGTGTTTGCAGTAGTAGTAAAGGTGGTAGAGGAGATGGGTGGTAAGAGAGAGAGATAAGTGGAAGACAGATAGAAGAGAGAGAGAGAGAGACAGAGTGGTGAGCGAAAGAGAGACAAAGTGGTCGCTAAAAGTGTATTTTCTTGTAGTGGATCGATAAATCGAGAGGGAGCTCAGTAAATAGAGAAGACGGAAGGGAAATAGTGAGCAACGCGAACACAGTGAGGAAGAGAGAGAGAAAGACAAATAGACAGACATGGAGAGAAGAGTGATGAGTGAGAGAGAGAAATAAAAGAAAGAGAGGAAGATAAAAAAATAGGTGAAAAGATATATAGAGAGAAAGAGCGAAAAGAGCTAAACGAGAGAGAAACAGAAAGAGATGAGCGAGAGAGCGAGAGAGAAAAAAAGAAGAGAGAGAACAGAGACAGAGAGAGAAGATAGATGAAAGAGATAGAGAGAAGAGAGATGGATGAGAGACACAGAGAAAAATAGAGAGACAGATAGACAGAGAAGAGTGATGAGTGAGAGAGAGAAAGAGAAGAGAGACAGAGACACAGAGAGAAGGAGAGAGACGGACAGACAGAGAAGAGTGATGAGTGAGAGAGAGAGAGAGAAGAGAGACAGAGGCACATAGAGAAAGGGAGAGACAGACAGAGGAGATGGAGTGACAGTGGTGGAGGAAAGGTAATGGTAGTAGTAGTGGCAGTAGTGGTAGTGGAGTGGTGGCGATGATGGTAGTAAAAGTGTATTTTCTTGTAGCGGATCGATAAGGAAAATGCCCTAGACCCCCCCAGTGGGAATGACCCCCACCACCTTCACTGTTTTCTGGGAGTGCTGGGGGTCACCTCCCACTGGGGGTCCCCAACATGGTTGAATCGATAAATCGAGAGGGAGCTCAATAAATAGAGAAAAGATGAGGGAGAGAGTGAGCAAGGCGAACACAGTGAGGGAGAGAGAGAGAGAGAGAGAGAGAGACAAACAAACAGACAGATAGACAGAGAAAGAGAAGAGTAAGAAGAAGATGAAAAAATGGGTGAAAAGATATAGACAAAGAGAAAGAGATAGAGAGAGAGAGAAAAAAAAAGAGTGAAAAGAGATAAACGAGAGAGAGACAGAAAGAGATGAGCGAGAGAGCGAGAGAGAAAAAAAGAAAAGAGAGAGAAGACAGACAGAGAGAGAAGATAGATGAAAGAGATAGAGAGACAGAGAAGAGATGAGCGGGAAATGAGTGAGAGAGAGGTGAGAGATATAGAGAGATGGGTGAGAGAGATAGAAAGAAGAGAGATGAGCGAAAGAGACAAAGAGAGAAAAAACATGAGAGAATAGATAGATGAACGAGAGACACAGAGAGAGAGAGAGACAAATAGACAGACATAGAGAGAAGAGTAATGAATGAGAGATAGAAAGAAAAGAGAGAGAAGAAGATGAAAAATGGGTGAAAAGATATAGACAAAGAGAGAGAGAGAGATAGAGAGAGAGAAAAAAAAAGAGCGAAAAGAGATAAACGAGAGAGAGACAGAAAGAGATGAGCGAGAGAGCGAGAGAGAAAAAAAGAAGAGAGAGAGAGAAGATAGACATGGAGAGAAGATAGATGAAAGAGATAGAGAGAAGAGAGATGGATGAGAGACACAGAGAAAAAGAAAGAGAGAGACAGACAGACATACAGAGAAGAGTGATGAGTGAGAGAGAAAGAGAAGAGAGACAGAGACACAGATAGAAAGAGAGAGACGGACAGACAGAGAAGAGTGATGAGTGAGAGAGAGTGAGAGAGAAGAGAGACAGAGACATATAGAGAAAGGGAGAGACAGACAGACAGAGAAGAGTGATGAGTAATAGAGAGAAAGAGAAGAGAGACAGAGACAGAGAGATATGAAGATGAAAAAATGGGTGAAAAAAGAAATGTTCAAAAGAGTAAGACGACGTCGTTTATAGTGGATCGATAAATCGAGAAGGAGCTCAATAAATAGAGAAGATGTGAGTAAGAGAGTGAGTAAGGCGAACATAGTGAGGGAGAAATAGACAAATAAACAAGTAGACAGAGAGAGAGAAGAGTAAGGAGTGAGAGAGAGACAGGGAGAGAGAGATAGACAGAAAAAGAGATAGAGAGAGAAAGAGAGAGAGATAGAAGAAGATATAGAAAAAGAGAGAGAAACAAGAGATGGACGAGAGATAGACAAAAAGATAGAGAAATAGAGCGAAAAGAGATGAACGAGAGAGACACACAGAAAAAGAGAGAGACTGAAAGAGAAGAGAAATAGGCGAGAGAGGTAGAGAGACATAGAAAGATAAGAGAGAGAGAGAGAGAAAAGAAATGAGAGAGATAGAGAGAAGAGAGATGAGCGAGAGAGACATAGAGAGAAAACAGATGAGAGAGATAGAGAGAAGAGAGATACGCGAAAGACACAGAGAGAAAATGAGAGAGAGAAACAGACAGACAGAGAAAGAAGAGTGATGAGTGAAAGAGATAAAGAGAAGAGAGATAGATAGAGACAGAGAGACAGAAAGATGAAAAAATGAATGAAAAGAGAAATGTTATATCAAAAGAGTAAGACGACATTGCTTTTTTTATTTTTTTTTTGCGACAGAAAGATACCGTTGAAATTATTCAAACCATTTTGTGACTGTATATATATGAAGCTGTCTCAAAACCATAATCACTATGCTAGGTTAGAGTTTTCCAAAAACTCTTTTAAGAACATTATACTTTCTTATTTTCCGTGTTATATTGTTTTTACTGAATTTTTTTAATATTTTAAGTATTTTTTTTAATTTTTAGACACACCTAACATAAATATACCTAAAAATTAAAAAAAATTGTAAAAAAAATCTTTTAAAAATTCACTAAATACCAAAAATACAATAATTCAATACATTTTTTTTGTATTTTCATGTATTTATTAATTTTTAAAAATATTTTTTCATAAATTTTTTTTTAGATACATCTAAGTAAGGTGCATCTAAAAAAAATATTTAAAATTTTAAAAATATTCACCTCCCCAAAAAAAAAACACGAAAGTCATTTTTTGCAACGGCAGAAAATGCCGTCTCAAAAAAGCAGAATATTTGCGACGGCATTATTTGCTTTTGAGACGGCAAATGGTGCCGTCGCAAATGCTCTGTTTTTTTGAGACAACATTTTCTGTCGTCGCAAAAAGTGACTTTTTGAGACGGCAAGTGTGCCGTCGCAAATAGTTCCGTCTCATAAACCCACTTTTCTTGTAGTGTCTAATGCATTGTTTACACTTTGCCACCAAAATAAGAGAAACAAAATGCATATAAAATCACTAAATAAGAGTATTATTATTCTAAAACAATTAATAACGAGTATTATTGCCCTAAAAATTTAATAAATGTGTCACGTGCTTTACATATGATCTAATTTTTTGTAAATTTTTAACATAATCCTAACAAAAGGAGCTAACTGTAATAAAATAATATTTTGATGGAGTTAACTAATTTTTGAAGTTTAGGAAAATAAAATGCAAATGAATCATAGTTTAAGAGTGTTTACTATAATTTACTCTTATTTTTTTAACACTCACCTTCTTGAAATTTAGAGAAAATATAGTTAGTCTTACACCTTTTTACATAACTATCTGATATAGAATTTTAATTTACATAATATTAAGTTGTTTTTCATTAAAAAATTGTGAATGGTATTGATAAAAAAATAATGTTACCATTTATTTTCTACTGAAATGTATATTTACCTTTGTAGGTATAGTGGTTCATGTAATTATCATTTAAGACAATAAGAAAGTTAGAGGCATATGGTTTGAGTTGATGAAATAACTGCAATCCTTTTGTTGTAACCCATGACCCTATATTTATGGACCAATTGTTTTTCAAATCTCAAGATAGGTGAGTATAATTTTTTTTTTTTTTAAATTTTTATTTTGTGGCTTTTCAAAGGTTAATTGTGCCAACATTTCTCCAATATTTTTGGGCGAATTTTTTTTAAGGTCTATGATGTTAAGATTTTATAAGATAAAAGACATACAATATTTTCATAATAGTTAAGGTCCCTTAACATTTTTACAGAGAAAATTCAACTCAAAGAAATTTTGTCCGACTAAGAGAATTTCAATTTTCACAGAGAAATTTTGAAATTTTTTTGTGATCATACCAAAGAAATTTCTCTGTGAAAATTGAAATTTCTCTTAATCGGGCGAAATTTCTCTGAGTTGGGTAAAATTTCTCTGAGTCAAATTTTCTTTGTGAAAATGTTGAGGAACCTTAGCTAATTAAAAAAAAAAAATCTTGGACCTCTCCTACTACACAAACTTGGAAAGGGATGTTTTACTAATTCTTCCATATTTTTGTTATCATTTTATTTTCATAAATTGGTATATTTTGACTTTTAAAAAAAATAAAATAAAATTATAAACTAAATT